GCATGGTGCTGGGACGTGCGTTGCCGAGAAGCGTTCGACAGAGTCAAGAGCGAGTCGGCGTCGCCCCCAACCTTGGCGCACTACAACCCCAAGAGGCCACTGAAGCTCTCCTGTGACGCCTCTCAGTATGAGGTTGGTGATGTTTTTTTTTTTTTCATGTTTCGGACGATGGAAGCGCAAGACCGATTGAATACGCATCGCGCACGTGATCAGATGCCGAAAAAGGGTACAGTCAACTCGGAAACGAGGCGTTAGCCATTGTGTTTGGAGTAAAGAAATTTTCTTTCTACATTTAAGGCCTATCATTCACCCTGGTCACTGACTATAAACCTCTGCAGACAATCTTGGTGCCCAAAACCTGGATACCCACGGTAGCGGTCGCTCTATTGCAGCGTTGGACAGTCACTCCTTCAGCCTACACGTACAAATTTATCTTCAAAAATCGAGCGAAAACGCCGAAGCCGATATATCTGCTCGCGCCTTTCGTTATGAAGTGTCAATAATGAAACAGAAGAAAGTGAAGAATCTTTTTATTCTTTAAGATTACAGTGTCTGCCAGTCTGTAGTCGTGAGAACGCTCGCATGACGTCTCGAAACCCAGTTCTTTGCCAAGTGAAGGAATGAACAAGTGTTGGTTGTCCCTCGGTTGTCAAGGACGAAAAGCTCAAGCCTTTCTTAGACAGGCGCAACGAGCTCACAGTTTATCAGGGCTGCATCATGTACGGCCTACGAGTTCTTGTTCCCGGGGAACTGCAGGACCTGCTACTGGATGAACTCCATGAGGGGCACCTGGGAATCGTGCGCAGCAAGGCGCTCGCGCGCAGCTACGAGTGGTGGCCGTCGCTTGAGGCGGACCTTGAGCGTCGCGTGAGAAGCTGAATGGGTTGTCAAGAGCAACGCATCGCTCCTTGCAAGGCCCCTCTTCACCCATGGCCATGGCCAACAGCCCCGTGGCAGCGTGTTCATGTTAACTTCGACGGTCCTTTTCTCAAGACTATGTTTTAGTTGTGGTAGATGCACACTCGAAGTGGACAGAAGTGTTTGCGATGCGCTCAACGACTGCCGAAAGCACCATGTAGTGTTTGAGATAACTTTTTGCTGGTTTTGATTTCCCTGAAACACTCGTTTCAGATAACGGTCCGCAGTTCACGTCGCAGGACTTCAAGCGCTTCGTGGGAGAGAGGGACTGCCGTCACGTCCTGACTGCTCCCTACCATCCTAGCTCGAACGGCCTCGCAGAGCGTTTCGTTCAGACCTTCAAGGCCGCTCTTCGCAAAGACAACCAAGGCGAGCCGATACAGGTAGAGCTACAGAAGTTCTTGCTTTGCTAACACAACACGCCCCATGCTACTAAGCACGATACGCCGGGCACTCTGCTTTTAGGCCGACGTCTGCGTAGACGTCTAGATGCAGTGAAGCTTGCGTTGGGGGAACGGGTGGCCCACCAGTTCATGCAGATGGCGACTCGACCGCCTCGCGATCGTGACTTCGTTGTTGGTGATCAGGCATTGATTTGCAATTATTGTGGAAAACCCAAGTGGGTTCCTGGGGCTATTGTTGAACAGTCGGGTCCCTGTTTTTTTTAAAGCGCAGGCTACCACCCCCAGAGGCAGCGTCACCTGGCGTCAGCACAAGGACAAGCTACTACAAGGTCCGGGCTTGCGGGCGCTGAGTCTGCCCAAGAGGACACGGAGTTCCTGTAGTGTCCATCGAGCGACGGCCCACCACTGCCTCCTTCTCCACCGTCACCTACAAGTGTCTCCGGCCCGCCTCAAGCAGCACAAGCGAATGTTGCGAGGCGGTACACAACAAGAGAACGTCGACTTCCTGAGAGATTCCAAGCCGAATATTAAATGTGTTCAACTAAAAGGGGAGGAAGTATCATGTCCGTTCCTCACGCTGTTGCCCGCGATACTGCGCACGCGCCTCTAACTGATAGAAAGAGCGCCCCGCATTCTGTCGGGTCTCCTTCTCGTCGTTGCTGTCTAGCGATAAGCCTTGCATAATAGCCGTGATTTTGTTCCGTGAACCTGTCTGGTCCTTCACCTACGGCGACACACGACAGGCGGATAACAATTTTAAATTGACTGGAAGGTACAGAATACTGTTTCAATAAACAAAACGTTAGGCCTGCCACTAACTAGTGATAATTAAACGCATTTTAAGACAAGTACCCTAGACAGGAGAAACAACGAATTACTTTGTTGTGTCATTCTTCGTTTTTAAAAGTTTCAGAATTTTGTCTTAAAATACGGTTTCGCAGGAAGACATTGCACATTTGCTTAATAAAAGTGCCTAGATACAAGCTGTGCCCACAGAGAAAGGTTTTTCTTGAGGTGCAGACTAAGGTAGGTTGAGTAGAGTGTTTAGATAACTATACTCAATACTTCGCCGTTCTTTTGCGCATGCATACCAAGTCGCTATAAATGTGTAAAAAGTATCGGCGTTTTCATCCCATCCAGGCACGGTTTTGGGGTAGATATTATGATTTTTACAAACATGTAATTTTTAGGTCCATTCCTAAAATTAAGACAACGCAAACGGGAAGCTTGGCGTATTTTTTTTTTAAAAGTTATTTATCAATGAAGTGGCCGAGCCCAGGACTGACGTTGCTCCGACCAGTCGGAGATTGCAAGTTATTTGCAATCCAAATAGCAAGCTCGCTATTTTGTCATTTCTCAAGCAATGGCACTCAGACTATTCTTTGACACTTCAAAAATATATTTCATTATGTTAAATAAAACAAAACAAAACATTTTCTATTAAACCATAAAATAAGATATCTTACAATCTCCCGTTCATGATTTCCAGCAAAGGTTCGCAAATTATTAAGCCAGACCTATTTGTGGTGGTTTAATGACCTTGATATCAACAGAATGCTCAAATGTAGATATTTTTACCTAATATAAATTTAATATTATATGTACACCATAAAATCTGCTATTACATTTACGTCCTTTTTTATCAATACCAAGGCTTCATCGTGTTCTTTTACGAAAATATGCATAAAATATAAAGTATTTCGTGTATATAATCGAAAATGAAGCTTCACTCTTGTTAAATGTGCATTGGAAAACAGCAAGCTTTGATGCGGGGTAAAATAACTCTTACTTCGCAATGCGCAATATTTCACGCACTTATAAACTTTCGTATCACTTATTAATTTGCGGTAATTATCCATACTAATTCCATAATGTTGTTCAAAATATCACCTACGCGAGGATGGTGCCGCATCGCACTATATACTGATCAGTTTCAAGTTTCAATTGCAGTCATACAAACAAAATAATATTTTTTTCTTTTTTCTATTTTTGATAGAAAACAATCGTACGAAAACGCGAAGCAAATAAAAAAGCATCTAAATTGGCAGCTTGTCCCCGAAAATATTGTTATTTTCACAGCAAAAATAAAGTCCGCTTCGCCAAACGTTTATTTTCCGCCCAATAGTAGCTCGAATGGTCCGAAGGATATATGCTAACATTTCAGCACTTAATTGTTATCTTATTCAAGAGCTGATAATTATTTTTTTTTTTTTTAAATTTTGATGGGAAAATTGGGTCCATTTTCGCCCGTTTTCAGTAACTGATGCCGTAGAGCTCCATGTATTTGAGAACTCCGTCGGCCGCCATTTTTTTTTTATTAAGAATTTAAAAAAATATCCCGGATAGTTCTTGAATAAAGTAATGGTTAGTGCTGAAAGTTTGGAATCTGGTACGGACCGCTAGCGCTACATTTGGGCTGAAATTGAAGGTTCGAGAATAGGTAGTTTATTTTTAGGGAGAAAAATACACTGTAAAGGTTTTTGGGGGACACCCCTGTATACAACAGACTATTTTGTACACATATGATTGAATTCATACGCAATAAAAGGCCTAGGTTCGATTTTATTTTTTTGTTATATCAAGGTTCTCAAAATACCTTCTGTACGTCACATCCAAGAACCTGCAAATATTTGCCAAAAGTAAATGAAAAAAAAAAGGTTCCAGTGTTCTCTTCATTTAACGCCGCCACGAGATGGTTCGTTTTCGGCATTTTTGTGATTTTCGTGGGCCTACTGGTCGATATGTGTGCTGAAAGCTTGACTCTCGGATCGTTGTCGAGTCTTCCCCGAATCAAATTCAACTTTTTTCTGAACAATGTCGCCATGTAAATGCGATAGGTTTGGGGGAATGTCACGCTAAATCTTCGCAAGTTCGAGGTTAGCTTTGCGCAGCACTACTTGCAAGAACCGGTTTTCCCACGCCGCCATGTATCGCTCATGGTGAAGCTCTACAAAGCGATCCAAATTAGAAATGTCGCGAACTTTTTCCGAACCTAAGGTCGAAGTCGAACCAGGGGGTTAGAAATGTTCGAGAAGCATCGCTCTGGCGAACTTTTCGCGTTTATTAATTATATTTTTTTTCAAATTACCAAACTTCTTGTATTTGAAAATTTGGTTATTTCGAACTTAATTCATTTAAGAAGTTTCGCGATTAACAAACTTTCCAACCTTAAAGAATTCGATAATTTCTGAACTTTTGAACTTGTTTCTTGAAAACTTCGAAATCATACTTCAGAACCTGCCATCTCGAGAAGTTCGACGAACTGCGAATCTCATCAGGATTCAAAATTTTGCGCCGAAGCTTTTCTCCATCCACCACACGACTTCTTGCCTATTTTGCCCGTTGTTGGTGAGCCCCGACTGGCGTCGACTGCCCCGGCCATCTCTGTGGCCCCGGCCCGACTTCGCTGTTTGGAGCTTCGAAAAGCGAGCAAAATGCGCGACACAACCGCTGAGAGAAGCTCCGCCTTCAGCGCCAGCTCGCTGCCTTCCGCGGTGCTTTGGTTGCGCGTGCACGGTCGTGTTATCAAGGGCACAAGAATCGCGCAGAAGCAATTCGCTGAAGGCGAAGCGGTGAATGGAGTATGTCTGGGGCGCCTTTCTCCCGAATTAACGGTGCGCGAGCCACTAAGCGCAGAAGTCTTTGGACTCTCGAGCCTAGTCAACACCTCCTAGACTATTTCAAGGCCCCCGCAACGTTCCCTTTCCACAACACGACGTCATCACTGTGAGATCGGTCCAAATCCGAGAACAACGGGCTTGGCTTGGAACGACTTACGGCTTTTGTATAATGTGTGGCCCGGCGCAAATAGTTAGAAAACGTTTCAAAAAGCTATTCTTATAAAACGTGAATAATTGAACTAGTAACAACAAAAAATTCTTTTCGACGCTTTTAAGTACGAAATATTTTACATGCCTACATTTTTGCTACGTAAGAAACTTAATTCCGTTGACGTGTGGAGCGCAGTATCGTGGAAGGCACGAATTTTGGTGGCGCGTACTGCCACATCTGGCAACCATAAACAGTAGTAACGGCGCATTTGTTTCTGGCCGCTGGCGTTGATGTGCTGCTTTCTGTTTTGTTCTTGTTTGTTCTCGGGTTACGCGACATGCCTGGCTGCTGTTGTGCGCCGAACTGTAACTCAAACTATGTGAGTGGGCCGAAAGTGCGGGTTTACCGCTTTCCTTCTGATGCGGAACGAAGAACGGCTTGGACAAAAGCAATACCTCGCGAAGACTTCGCGCCAACGAAGTACAGCGTGGTGAGTAATTCCTCTTCCGCTGTTTAATTTTCGTGGTTGTTGCGTGTTCCCTTGCTGTTCGGGGTATTGCAATGATTCTTGACCTTACCAGCTAGGATGTCTTCGTTTTCTTCCTTGACGCGGGGAATAGTTTTCAAGCTCTCGCGTATAGTTCCGAACGGATTACGAGGACTTACAGAAAGTAGTTTTGTGTCTATACAAGTGCGCATTAGAATTATTGCGACGTGTAACTTACCGCTTCCCATTTTATTGTCTTGGTATTGTGCGCGAATCGCCTGTCCTATATTGAGATTTTTGCACTTCCTACAGGTCTGTGAAAAGCACTTTTCTCCGGGTGACTTCGCCACTACTACAACGTACACGGACGAAAAAACTGGACGAGTGCTTGAAGTTCCTCTTCAATTACGGCGGCTGAAGCCCTGCGCTACTCCTAGCATCTTCCCCAACTGCCCTGCATACCTGTCCCGCAACACACCTGCTGCCCGCGAAGGTCCTGAAGAAAAGCGCGCTCGGCTTGAAGCGGAGGCCCTGCAGCAAGCACTGGCGCGCTCCACCGAAGCTTATGAAGACGAACAGAGAAATAATTCCGTTAGCAGCTTTGACGAACTCGTGGCTGCTCTCAAGGAATTCCAGGTGGCCGATTTCTGGACAAAGCTGGTCACTGACAAGCAAGTGCTTTTTTTGAACTTTGCTCCTCGAGATGCACCAGTTGTGCGCTATTCAGTGACGGTCTCTGCAGATCTTTCATTGAAAGCGTTTATTGGGGACCTGCAGCTCGACAAGGTTGGTCTTCTCATTTTTCCAATGTGTGTGTCCGACATTAGGGAGCTAGAGAAAGCTTTAGAGGTTGTGCATGGTTTTGCCAAGAACTCCTCTAACGATCAGCAGCGACTAGAAATTGTCTTAAAGAAGACAGTGGCAATCCTAGAGGAGCTGTCATCAGAAAATTTCCCTCATGAGTGGCAAATGGAAATTGTGAACTTCTTAATGCAGCAGGTACACATGCTTCTAAGCAAGTCTCCGAATTACCCTGCAGACCTGCTTGTGTTTTCAAGCCTCGTGTTTACAATATCCCCACACGCTTATAGGTTCATCCGGAGCACGTCAAAGCTCAAACTGCCCCATCCTGACACTATTAGGCGTGTTTGTGCGTCTTACGTTGTCAACCCTTGTACAGAGCAACAAAGTACCTTATTTCTCTCATATGCAAAAAGACTTGTAGCTGCAATGAACGAGCATGAGAAGACTGTAACGCTCGTCATGGACGAGATTCACCTTCAGCCATACCTCGACTATAAGGGTGGAACCGTAGTGGGAATGGCCGCAAACAGTACAATTGCTGCAAAGACAGCATATGTGTTCATGATCCAAAGCCTTTTGTCAGCGAGCAAAGATGTTGTGCATATCTTCTTCTTCCACAGAAAGGAGCAAACGGCATCGCGCTTCGAGGTCAGGTGCTTCATATCTCAGATGCTTGCTAATCTACGTACTCCGCCGATATCCGAGGATCGCCCCATCGTTCCCCCTAGAAAAGAAGATGGCGTAGTGCGACAAGTTCGAGAGCCTGTGCAAAAAGCGTGTGGCAAGCTTGAAGTCGTCGCATTCCTTCACCATCAGGGATAATGTTGACAATCTGACAATGCTCTTGTTGCGTACTCATACGACGGAAATTTTCTCCAGATAGAGGAACATGCGTCACCGTGCTTTCAAGGTATGTGGAACACGTCACGGATGCTTGCTAATCCCCGTACTCCGCTGGGAGCCGAGGAAAAACTGTTCATTCCTACTGATGGCCCTATAGGTTGTATTCGTGAAGCGGTGCATGCTGGGACCAGCGCCATCTTGCCGTCCTCGGGAGCAGACAGTCGCACAGTCGCGTACGGACAACCGCATCCTACCTTTTCAAACTTCAGGCGAAGCCGCAGCCGCGCTTTCTGCCTCGGGTATGGTGTCGTGTGTGGTGGTAGGTTGCCACAACAAGACGCAATCGTCAAAGAAGAAGAAAGAGTGCAAGGTCGCAGACGCTCGGTTCTTTAAAATACCGAAGGTACGGACTCGTGAATGCGACACGACGCGAACACTGTCCGCGAGGAGACAGCGAGAATGGTTGAAACGCATCAACAGAAAAGACCTGGACGCTGACCTCGACAAGTACAAGGTGTGCTCACGCCACTTCGTCTCGGGTGAGTGTCGGCATAGTTTGTTTTTCTCTGACATTAACTTCCTGGAGCTTTTCGAATCAGTGGGCTAGGCCTACTTGCAGCGCAAGTTCGATCGAAGTTAGTTGGTTCAGTCATTCTAAAGGATCTTAAAAACACTCGAATGCGAGCTTTCTGTCGCAGGAGCGGGAGAAACAGGATTTAGATAACTATTTTACATTCATGAGCACGATTTTCTGTTTTTATTTTTGCCTTGCAGCAATCTTTAAGGGGTGCCACTGCTCCGGCGGAAAATCGGACAGCTGTTCCGTGTTCTCCCCTTTAGACGTCTTTTGATCGATTCTTTACATTGTGCAGGGGCAGCGGCCGATCTTTTTGACGACTGCAACCCTGACTGGGCACCTAGCCAACATTTGGGTTATGCATCCACGCTCGACGGCCCGCACTCGGGTCGCTACGTACGGCTGAGTCGTCGTCGGCATCAAAAACGGACCGCCCCCAGTCAAGGTAGGGACATCTTTCACATGCTTTTTCCTGCCTGTCCAGAGAGTGTCTAAATTTATTAAATATTTGTTAGGTCTCTCTAGTCATGCTTCTGTGGCTTCACCTTCGCTCACCTACACGCTCCTGAAACAGACCGTTTCGCCGTTTCAAACGAAATTAAGCGAAGATACGCGTCCGCAAAAACATGAAAAGTTGGGCTCACCTTCGAGACGATGATCACGCTGTCCGCGTTCGCTGCTTTCATTGCCGGCTCCTGGACCCATCCGCTCGTAAGGTAATTATGGGCGTCTAATGATTTGTACGCTTTTAGCTGCTTGCGCGTCACGAAACTTGTCTTGAGGATCAGGTAGTTGTGTATGTCGCCCATTTCTACCTGCGGCCATAGGTTGCTGTTCCGGACTAGGTCCATCGGCGGCAGCGCGAACGGATCCGCGCCGCACATTTTAACCTTTTCCTCGTAACGTGTGCGTTCCCGTCCGCTTAAACTTAGGCCGTATAAACCCAGCGGTGGACAACCACTTGAAGAAGACATCTTCACGTTAGCGGGCGAGCAAACACCATAAATACGTCGCACTGCAACGGTGCGTGCGTAACGCGTCCGTCACCTGTCGCTGGGCGCTACGGGAGTGCGCGCGCGGCTGTCTGCTCTCGAGGACGGCAAGATGGCGCTGGTCCCAGCATGCACCGCTTCACGAATACAACCTATTGCTCCGGCCAGAAAATGAGATGGCGTCGAACGAAATGTTCAACTCGTTTGACGATGTGCGTGAGAAACGTGGTGGATGCTCGAAGTTGCTGCATTTTTAAAACAACAACGTCAAAGTTGACACTCCGTACTGCTCCTAGTTCCATCGACGAAATAAAAATTAATCCTAATGTCAATATGTCATTGTTGGTGCAAGAAGGCGATGACCTCAAACTTAAACAATGCTTTTAAACCGATAACTTTATGGGCGAGGCTGCAGAATTTTGTCCTGGTCCGTTATCGTCGCCGCGCGCCCGAAGAAAAAAAAAAAAAAAACCCTATTCTCTCCCCTCTTGTCGTGGAGAGTTTAGTCGCGACTTCCCGTCCGCCTGCCGCGCGAAGCGAGCGAAGAGCGCAGCCCCGGCGTCCCGCCAAGAATGGACGTTTCTTTAGTAACGAGTACCGTGTGCGGAGGTTTCCTCGAACTACAAATGAAGGGTAGCCCCACTTGCCTACGTCCGTCAGAAAACATTGGCATAGTGATGTTGTATTTATCTTCGTTGCCTCTTAAGAAGAATCGCCAAAAAAGAAATAGGCGCAAAGATAGGTGCTGAATATATTGGTTGACCGGAACTTTGCCCTGCGAAAATGGCAACAGCGGGAAGCAAGGTTAAGGGAGGGGGTGTACGCATGCGCAGAGGCTTACTGGGGAAAGGTCCATGGCGCGACAAAGGGATCATCATCATGTCGTCTGCTTGAAAGACTTGTTATCAAACATTGCTCGCGTTATGCGAAATCCCAATTTGGCAGTGTCCAGTTGCTACGCGTAATGTTGGATGGTTTTAGAAACTTCCACCGCGCGTACCCACTTACTTCAGGGATCACTGATGGCAGTTGTCAGTGGTACCGATGACACTAACCACGACGGCAATGAGAATTAATCACGTTGCACCTTCGTTCTCAGCTACGTGACGGTACCATACCACCCGCATTGCGCGACCGCGCTACCGCTATCACTTCTGTTTGTTCGCGCATTGTGGACAAAAAATACAAATTTTGACACACAACATTGAAGTTGTCGTTCGTCGCCATGTTATTTCCTCGCCGGAACTGTGGGACAATCCCCAACTCGGCGGAGTGGCGTAATACGGGGATTAGCAAGCATTCGTGAGGCGGCGCAAGTTACCTCCGAACGCGATGACGTCTGCTCCTTTCTGCGTAAAAAACATTATTTGTGCGAATTCACCGTAATTTGTTGTGGGATGTTTAGGCAGCGGAAATTTAAACTACTCCAAGAGGCGCCTGGTTTCTCTGACGTGGGAGAGAAATTTAGCAGGCCGGTACGATGGCCATTCAGATCGAAACGGGCGGCGGTGTGGTTTGAGTGGACGATTCCTGGGTTCTGCGGTGAGATTTTCCCCTCCGTGTTATTCTCCTTATGTTATTAGGTTCGAAGCTTAGTGTGCTAATGAACAAGCGCTTGCCTCGTTCAGCAATTGGAAGAACCATGGCCGGGCTGGAGCGAACAGGTGCCATCTCTTACAGCCTTTGAGCGGGGAGTGGTTGTTCCCTGCCGCCGCATTTCGAAAGGGTCGCTGCAACGATACACCTTCCAAAAGCGCTTGTATTCCTTCTGAGAGGCACCTCCACCTCACCGTTTTAACCTCTTTGCTTCAGGGCTGAGTTGGAGAAGTTTCCAGAGTAATTTAACCCACAGGTCATGAAGCCGCCTGCATGCAGGGACTTGGGCGGAACTCTTCTTCCTCTACGTCTCCTCAAGAAAGGGGTTTATTGAGACAAGCGTTTAATCATCGCAAGCCGAAGCTTAATTCAATCGCCTCACTACAGCGATTTCAGATAAGCATTTTGTCACATATTTTAGATCGCTGTGATCGGGGAACCATTCTTCAGAATATCTCAGGGAGTGTTGGGCAAAGTAATGTGGACGCACTCCCACGCGGCTGAAAAAGACCCATTGCTCCCAGGTGAGAGCAAAAGCCGCAAGGAAAGACGCTCTCTAGCCAGGCCATAGATGAACATGACAGAGCAATACTGACCATCTCGCTTAGTTTTATTTCGCAACATTGATTTCTGGCTCCTGCAAGCATGAAAGGAAAGCGCGAGGAAACTTCACGAGTTGTGATCCTGGCTGCGGCTTATCATTAGTTGCAAAGGAAAAAAAGTCATGGTGGGTGTAAAAAGCACAATGGAAGCTTGGAATTGTCGCAGTATTAAACTAACACTGTAAAGGTTGATCATCTGACACAACCCTTATTTCTATAAATTATAAAATAAAAATAAAAAGAGACGACCTAGGGAAGGTTTAGCTTAGTTTAGCCCATCGTGCTACGCTTTTCGTAGCGCACTTAATTTATTAGACCCTTTTCTCGAGCCTCAGATTTCAGTCGCAACAACTGGCTCCTTGTTACCTCACTGAAATGCCCAGCAGCTAAAATAGGTAATAAGTAAATAAGAAGTTAACCCCAAGAAAACTTTTTGGACATAACGCTGTTGTGTATCAAACTCAATAGCCTGTCTCGCGATCGCAGGAATTAAGTGAAGCGTACCAAATGAGAGGAAGAGAAAGTGAAGGTCAGTCATGGATGCGCCCATGCACATCTGCTTAAAAGGGTCTGTATGTCAAGGACAATATCAGCGCACCCTAGAAATTTTCCTGAACAAGTAGTTCTTCAATTTTGGTCACAACAGATGGCAAATCGGTCATAAAAACTCCAAAAGAACTTGCTATTAGGAAAAAACAGCTAGGGCGCAGGCGAGCTGGTGTAAGTTTACCATTTTTGTTGGGTCAGGATATATAAAAGGAGGGAGAACTGAATAAAGTGGTTAGCTGTGTTTGGGACGTCGTCGTGTTTCTTCCACCCAGTCTCAGCTGGTCAAAAATGGTAAAGGGTTGCTATTAGGGTTTTTGCTGACTTTATACAAAACTGAGCAACGTTTACTAAATCAGAGGCTGCTAGTTTGTATATGCAACAATAATTTATCTTCTTTACACTGACATTATCTTCTTTTGTGTGTCTAAAAAGGATAAATATTTCTCTGAAGTTGAATTTTTTTTCTTTCAGAAACACTGAACGCAAAATTTGAGAAAAGAAGGAGCCACGATATGCAAACGAGCATATATTTAAGTTTTTCTGCAAGATGTTCGAATACCTTGTGTCGCAAACTAACGGCGGTGAATTTGTAGTGTACTACGAAACAAAATTTACATATTTTTGACATTTTTATTTATTCTCCCACTAGCCTTACAACAAACATTGAGCACCAATCTTAATCACATTTAATTGGTACACATTTTGAGGCTGTACACATTAATAACTGTTACAAGTTTCAGACGTAAAAACCGACTCAGTTGTCGTGGTAATTGAACGTGAATTTACTTCAATGAAGCCTGTATTGCAAAAAATATACCTCTCAATATAAAATGAAGATGAAAAAAAAGGTCACCATATGCAACGCATGCAGTCTTCATCTACGCCTCTTAAAAATTTGAACCAAATCGGTCCAACATTAGACTCTGTCCATTTGTACTACCAAACCATGTACGGCCAAAAACGTCACTTCACAAATGTTCCCAATGAGCAGAATTTCTAATGTACTCACATTTCTTTATAACATTGTAATAACATTTATAACATTTTATAACATATTTTTCAAATGTAGAGCAAGCGTGCATTAATTACTGTGTTATATTTCATTGTATCAACAACTGCACCTTTGTCACCTTATAGATGTTATTCCTGTGCACCGGCAGGGGAACATCACGGAAGGCCCGACCCGACCCGGCACGGCCTGCGGACTGGGCAGAGTAGGACATATGTTCTCGCTGTTGCTCGGACTTGTAGGAAATGTTTTTCAAGGGCCGGGGTTCGGAAACGGCATACAGAATTTTCTAAAATTTTGAGAAGGAAATATCAACACCTTTATCGTTGAGATTTGAAGTAAATATAAAAAAAACTGCAATCTCACCTTGACGCCGCTAAAAAATATGAGAAAAGAAAACTAGTCGTGGGCTTAGGAAGCTAAGAAAAGCCCACCTGACATTTATTTATTTATTTTAAAATACTGTTAGCCCTACCTTGAGGGCCATTACATGAAGAATATTGATTACTATAACAAAAAGAAAAACCCCAGCATAAAACTTAGAAGATTCAACAGATTGACCCTTTTTAGAACAAGCAATGGCAACGAGGCGGAACTGTAGCATGCTAAAAAGTTAATAAATCAAATTATCTTAAACAATCATTACAAAATACAGTTTCAGAACACGTCGTTTTGAACTATTATTGGTTTAAAGGCTGTGCGATGGAATGCTCGAAGGAGGCCACAGTTTCCAACCTCACAATATCGCTGGGCAATAAATTCCAAGCCTCAATGTATTTCACACAAATGACTGTTTAAAGGTATTTATTCAGTTACTGTAAGTTTGGCATGTTTTTGAACGATTTAGTCAGCGATCTTTTTAAACTTGAATGGAGGACGTATTTGTTCGGACCTGGATTTAGTTTGTCATTGATGATAAAAAAAAATTCAGACGTGCTATTTCTCTCCTACCCAAAGGCTCTATATTGCTATCTCGGAGCATTTCCGTTGGGGATGGAGTTTGCCTGTAGCTAGAATGAATAAAACGTGCAGCTTGTCGTTCGATGTTTTCCAACCTATCAACATCTATCTTTGTATAAGGATCCAAGTCGACACAACCGTAATCTAAGATGGGTCTAATGTATGTTTTGTGTGCTACTCCTTCGTTGCATATTTTAATTTGTGTGAGCGAACAAAGCTTTTTATATGCCAATGCGCAGATGGTATCATCATATTTTGTCCAGGTTAAGTCTCTAGAAAGAGTGACACCAAGCTTCTTAAAGCACTCTACATTGCTCGATTCTGTATCTACAAGGCAGTATTCAAATAAAAGTTTCCTAGTTTTTTTGGCTATATGATAGTACGCAGACCTTGTTTAGTTTATTTTCACATGAGAATTGTCGCACCATGTT